ATACATTTTAATAGCAACAAATGTTACACCATTGTCTTAATATACTGCAATTTATCACCTCTGAGAATAAAGAAATAAATCAGTCTATTAAAGACAGGTAGTAAACTATCAGGACACACAGATCAAAGGAAAATGTTGATTTGGGTGGCATTAAAGGTGCCATGCAGTTGTGTGTCACAGACCAGTCATTCCCTTTAAAAAACAAAACTCCGTCTTTCAAAACCCTGAAATTCTAACCAGTTTGATAAGAACTTCCCCACTATTTAAAATGCATCCTGGGAGTCCGACTGTGTGAGAGTGAGCTTTCTGAGTCGCTGCCACTGGACTGCTACCATTTCCATGCTGGCTGTCCCCTCACAATCTAGAAGACCACCCATCTTCTTTCCAGGCTTGACACCTCCTAACTTCTGCTCCGTCACAAGCAGGGGCTCCTTTTGTAGGTGGAAGAGGTTGCCCAGGCGATACTGAAGCTGTGGGCTCCTGCGGTCCCAGCAGAGGAGCGGGATGATGAAGCCTCCTGAGAAGATGCAGCAAGACGATTTTGGATCCAGCAAAGCACACTCTGGTCTTTCCGCTGACGAGCGCTGCTTGGTTAGGGCTGCTGTGAAGGAGACATTTGTCTGATGAGTGTTACCATCTGACGAAAACGATCCAAATGGCTTTCTTTTCCACTGCCAACTTCCTATGGATTTGGGGCTGCACATAGAAAATCCCAGAGCCAGATGGCTGGAGAGCCGCCATCTGTCTCCCCGTGGTGCGGCGTGCTGGCGGGATGAGGCTCTGGCTGCACAGTTTCTCAGGGAACTAGAAAGATCGTGTTTAGCTTAACACCATGGCAAGTACCATGACATGGACATTTTACCGACTGATGCAAAATATTTTGGGAATCCTGCCCAGAGTGATAAGCCACTGCCAGAACAATACTTTTGGGGGGGAACTGCAGGCAAAAGAAAGTGTCAGGCTGATATTTACCTCCAGAAAATGCTACTGATATAAACTTTTTAGAAGTTAACTTTTAAGTCAACAAAGCTGTCCCCTCAAACCAATTTTATTCTAATCCCTGAGAGGAGAGAACCTTTTAAGTCCAATGGAAAATGCTAATAAACTGTCATGTTGTGGGTTCTTTTTCCTAATTCAGTAATAGCTGTCAGCACCTTTCTTCCCCCACTTTCACCTTAACAAGTTAATATGCTGCACTGCCTCCAGCCTGCACTGTGATTATTAATTAACAGACCCTTCAGAATGGATTCTTGTTCCTCTTTTTTTGTGCAGTGGGAACAGCCATTCACATTTCATACAGTCTGGTGGACATCTTTGGGCGACACCTTCCGCAGGGGGATCTGCCTCTTTCAGCACGTTTCACCGGGCGTCCACACCCCCCGGGCATGAAACACCGACGTTGCCCTGTGCTGTGCTCACCTCCTTCCCAGGCTCTGTGCGGGCATAGGGAGCTGCAGGAGCTTCTCTCACTGCTTCAAGGTGACCCCTTCCTCTACCCAGTTGTTCCAGAGACCAGTTGTTCCCGTAGCAGCAGCAAATGGTAGTTGAACATCGCTTGCTACTCTTTTTCTGGATGATGCGTGCTGCATGTCAGATGCTCTTGCTGCAGCGAACGGCGCTGCCAGTCCCCAGCACCCCGGGGGTAGCCCGTGCGCCAGGTGAGCGGTCCAAGTGAGGTAGGTGTACGCAGCCCTGTGTTTGACTGTAGCTCCTCGTATTTAGGTCATAACACTTGGCTAAAATCCAAATAAACTTCCCGCTGTCTTACAGCAGGCAGGGTTATCGCCCTGTTTGCCTGGTGACTGTCCCCCTGCAATGAAATCCTGCTCCCTACGTGCTGGATTACAACCGTACATGCTGTTGTACCGAGAGAGATTTATCAACTGTGCAAATCAATACATTTCTTAAATTAACTGGACTAGAGTAGCAGCGAGACTGCCTGAGCCAAATGCAATCTCACGCTGCCATGGACAAACATGAAATATAATGCTTTCTACAGGCTGATAAGACACGGTATAAGATGGGGCTTTGTTCTGTCATTCTTCCCGCGCTGCCCATTATTAACAGGGTCTTCACTCCCCATGTTTTGGCCTTGCTCAAGTTGAATTTCATGTTCCTTGTAAGTGGATGAGATCAGTTCTGCACGGCTTTCCACTGAGGACTCGGGGCTGCTCTGTGCACACCCCCATGGAAAGGTCTGAGGCACACGCTCGCTTTTGCTCGGCTGTGGTTTATGGGCAGCTGCTGCACGCAGGTCTGCAGGACTCCTACACTCCCGTGCATTGCGTCCACCCTCTCTCGCTGAGATGATAGATTTCCAGATTGCACCCTTCACACACTTTCTTGCAAGTACACCCACCCAGTGGCATTTACTTTGTCTGGAAAACATGTTATTTTATCGAAGAATAAAGTTGTGGTATTAGAGAAGAACACTCAGAGAAAGTTACAGCTTAGCTGCACATCAGTAATGGACTGCACAGATTATTTAGTTATTTTTTTATGACATAGTTATTTTCTGTGGTATTCTGTGTGTATTAGGCACAGTATACTCTGGCTGAATGCCTGTATTTCAGCATAGGCTAACACTGTCATGATGAAAATGGGAAAGACAAGTGATTCATTTCTCAAAATTAGCCATATCCCCACATTTCAGACAACTGGCCATGATAAGATGCCTTGCACGGCACTTCATCCATGTTATATGTGAGACTGATTGAAAGCTGGAAATGAGCCTTAAAGAAAATGACATAAAACTATTTACCCGTATTCAACAGCGGCCAGCAGGACTTCATGCTGATGTACTGTCAACATATCTCCTCAGCCTTATGTTTAATTCAGCACAGAGCTTGTAGTGGAATAACATCAAGTCAAGCTTTTATTAAAATTTCCTTACTTGAAGTCTCAAAGCAACCACTGTCATTAGAGTTTAAGCATGGTGGTGAATCAGGAACCAGGAGAGCTGTTAGGTGGAACAAGAACATTTCAAGATTAACACTGGATTCAATTAACTGGCTCCTATCCTTTACTCAGCAGCTCCCTCTGGTCGCTCGTCACTGCGTGGGTGCGTCTGGGGAGGGGTCTCCCTTCCTGGCTACCCCAGCCTGCGTCCGGACAAGCCACCGCTGCTGAGCAGGTAGGATGGGCTCCTGATTCTCATCGAGTGATTAGCATTGCCCGAGACCTCCCAAGGCTCCCCCTTAGCGCATCACAGGTTGAAGGTAGTAACAGTCTCTCCGTCCTGTTTTATCTAAATACCCGACATGCTTGGCACCGCTCAGGCATGGCAAGAGGTTTCTGTCGTTCCAGAACAAAAGTGACCTGTACAGCAGCATAGGCTGGAAATAGACGGGTTTTCTCATACATTTCCATCAGTATCTCTGATGGCTTTCCCTAATCTTTGTGGCTGAACGTGGTTTGCTTTTCTAGTGTGAAGCAGAAGGAGCTACAGAGCCAGTGATCTGGATTGTGGAGAGCAATCCACCCCAAGAACCACGTAGTCATTAGTTACTAGAGAATTATTAATCATGAGCTTCATTTCAGAACTGTGAGTTGCAAGGTCTGATGTTAGATGGAAACAATCAGGAGGGAGAATAGTTGGGTTTTTTGTAAAATAAAAACTGTAGGGGGAGGAAAAAAGAGAGAGGGGAAAATTTAAAGTGCCCATGTAAAGGTAAATATTTGCAATGAGAACCTGAATAATCTGAGCTGGGAAGGACTATTTTAACTCTTCCAGAAAACAGGTCCACTGAGAAGCCATGAGCCCCTTGAGATGGGTGAACTGGTGCCCCAGGTGGTCACCACCCTTGGCCCAAAGCCGAGGACAACCAGGAAGGGGCTGTCCCTTTGACCTCCCCTTTGCTTGGGGGCTGGGAACAGCTCTTATCCAAACTGACAAACTGCTGAAACGTTGCTGTCCGGGGAGGGACTCATCTTCTGCCTGTGCCTGAGATTCAGGACATCCTGCTTTGCTGGGGAGGGGCAGTATCTCCGGTAGTAATTGAGGGGACTCAGGATGGCAAAGAGAAAAAGAGTTTTACTGTGAAGGACAGCTAACAATATACTTTATTAAATGACTGGAAGAGGCCCTGTGGAAGTGCTGGCTATATTAGACACAGATGTATGAACCCCCGGGGGCTGCTTGAGAGTCATCAGGGGCTGGCACAGCCCCAGCAGAAATTGTCCCCATTAGCCCCACTCTGGGGTGCAGTGGGCAGCACTCCTCTGGCAAGGAGGGGAGTCCCGGCAGAGCCCCGCTACCAGCAAGAAGGGGAGGGCAGAGTTATTTTCTGACAGCACGTTAAATTAAAACATACTTTTTGCCTAATTCCTTGCGTACCTGTCTCTGACACATCAGTGTAAATAGCAAATAAAAAGCCAAATTGATTGTCAGGTTGGTTTTCCTCATGTGGTGACTCATAACAGTGCTGCACCTCCAGCATCAGCTGTGCCGGTTTCTAAATAATGTTAAGGAACAGGCAGTCAAGGCTTTCCTCAACTTTACAGAACTGAGCTAAGATATGCCATGAGTGCTGCCAGGGCCTTTGGTACCTCAAAGACAAAAAAGATTTCTAAACACGGTGCATTTCCAGCTTTCCCGTGACTCATGCAAAAGGCAGCAGGGTGCCTGTCTGAAAAATGGTGCTTACATTTCTTGTGACATTTTAATGGCTAGGAACCTTCTTGCACGACGTCCATGGGGCTGCGTGGCAGCTCGGAGGGCCAAAAGGCAAGTGAGTGCCAACACTTCTGTCATCCCAAGAGAGGTGTCGGGCAGGAGGAGCCCTCCTCCTCCTGTCCCCATGTGTTTAAGGGACACAGAAACACCTCCTTCAGTAGGAGTCACTTCAGAAATGACCCATGCAGAAGAAGCTCCACCAAGGAGGAAGAAATGGCAATGGTGGGGACTCAGTTCCCACCACTGCTGGAGTCATGTCTGTTTGTTTTTCTGCTTAAGTGGATTAGACAGAGACCAAGGAGCAGCAATAGCATGAAAAGGATTAGTGTGCTCATACTCGTAGTCATTTATTCTTACATCATGACAAAACCCACAAAACTCCTGCTTCTGAGCAAATATTTTTATCTATTGCGTACAGACTTCAGATATATCTTGTTCTTGCATTCTTCACAAGAAGCTGTCTTCTGGTCATCCCAAGTTTTAGCATTTGACTTCTCCTGAGCACTCAAGGATTGGGGCTCACCCGCTGATATGGTGCAGTGGTGCCACGGCGGCAGAGCTCAAGCGGGGGTTACCACTCTGCTCCCTGCCAGGACTCGGGGTGGTGGGACATAAAACATCTGGGCTGCAGAACAGAAGCAATGAAAAGGGCACTGGTGTGGTTGGGAAACTGTGGCTGGGTAAAGAGCAGGTCTCACACTGTTCGTCCCTATGGTAGGTGTTTTCCACAGTGTTTCATGAAGTTGCACAGAGAGAAAGCTCACTCAAATATTCTGCGTTCCATCAGTACCTTTCATTCCTCTCTACTTCACCACTCTTGGTATCAGCCAGTGGTTTCGCTTCCAGAGTTTCCCACCCTGTTCTTTGTGGCACTCACACTGGAGAAGATCCGTGCATGCACTGAGGCCAAATGTTACAAAACCTCCAATTTTTTTATGAAGTCCACCTTTTCCTCTGTAAGTCCTAATACGTGCTGCCTTGTGCCAGCCACTTGCTCCAGCTGGGCTGGCTGCACGGGGACCCTGCAAAGCACACAGTTTCAGCCAGCAATGGCACCGCTACCTAGATGTCAACCTATCTGCAACAATATTTAAACAATAACTAAGTAGGTGATCAAGATAAAAGTCTTAAAAGATCCCTTTTCTGGAAGGTATGGCTTGTTTGAGCAGAATTTCTTATGTGGGAACATGAAAACTGACAAATGGGAATAATTTCATACAACATGTAATTAAACTGTACAGCTTATTATCACTGGGATTTGCAACAGCAAATAATTTGTACAAATTCTGAAGGAAGGGAAAATACAGACAGATAACAACAATACCCAGTTATCTGACTTAGTGGTGAAAAGAACAGAATTTTTAAGTCTCACTCACAGCGCTGAGCAGCTGGAATGCTTCTGGTTTGCTTTCACTGAAACAAAACATGGCTTGCTTTTCGCTTTGTTTTCTTACATTCACATTTTGAATGGAAATTTGGTACACTGATTTAAAATGTAGTTTCAGAATAAATTTTTTATTGTTATTATTTTTGAGTAGTTAGCATGGAACATTTCTGCTATCAGGTTTTCCCTCCTTCCCTCTATTTTCCCTGGGAAAGGTTGGGAGATGTAACAAGATTCTTGAATGTATTTTCACTAATCTGAAGGTCACTTTTCACTGAATGAAACTATTTTCAGACCAATTTTAGTTCATCTCTTTGCCTTCATTTTGTGCTTTAGTTATGAATGCTTAGTTACTAATGGTTAGTTTGGTTAATTAAGAATATGTAGATTTGTATTTATTTACTTATTTGTTATATATTTATGTTAAGTAATTAATTATTATTTAATTTTTTTACTGACTAAGTTTATTATTCAGTTACTTATTAAGGTTTCATGACTAATGTCCAACTGTCAAAGTCTCAGGCCACGAGGGGGGTGACCGGTGTGTGCCTCCAGCCCTCGCCAGCCTCCCGGGACTGGGATGCCGGCAGCGGCGGCAGCGTCCCGGGGCAGACGGGGTGAGCCCGGAGCAAGGTCCACACTTCTAATTAAAGGACTGACACTAAGCATTCCTAAAAAAAGCAGCTGTACGGCGTCTGCTAATGTAACAGCTAAATGGGATTTGGACTTAAACAGCAATTCACACTTTCTGAAATGTTTGTAGCTTCAAGTATATTAATTACGACAAGCTGATTACTTCCCAGCATTTTACAGTGCTTGCAGGGAAAGGTATTTTGTGGGTAAAA